AAAGAGCTACTCAACACAGCTCACAAAGACACTCTCATGGACCCAGAGGGACAGACTTCCATCTTCAGCTCCCTCTGTGCAAAAATGAAGTTTATTTCCTACCTATGGGGACTTTTTACCATCTTGTACCATCTACTCTTTTCCCAGAGCCTGACGAAGGGACTTTGATCCTGAAAGCTTGCAGAAAAGGACAGTTTTCTTGCCATTTTGCAGTTGGTCTAATAAAAGGTATCATTTTGGAACCAAGAGTTCTAGTTTTTTGTATGTCTTATAGAGATCTTCATTCCTTTGGAGCAAATTCTTCACAGTCCACACTACACATTCTGCTTCTCCATTACTTTGGGGGAAATATGGACTGCTGGTGATATGCTGAAAGTCATACTGGGCTGCAAACTGCTTAAACATGGCTCCAGAAAATTGTGGACCATTATCAGTTCTTAAAACTGAAGGTATGCCATGGTGTACAAATATACTCTTCAATGTCACTATAACTCTCTCTGTTGTGGTGCTTTGTAATTGTACCATCTGCAAGTAACAGGAATAATAATCTATAGCAATGAAGTAAACAGAACCCTTCCTGGTGAATAAATCAGCTCCCAACATCTGCCACGGATGATCTGGTAAATCAGTTGTGAGGCATGGCTCCACATGGTCTGGTCAGTGTTGAATGCAAACCTTAAAATTGGCCACCCAGTTCTGTATGTCATCACAGAAGGAGGGCCACCAAGCTGTCTGGCAAGTCCTGGCTTGACAATTTGTAATGCCCTGGTGAACATCATGAACCTTCTCTAGGATTTCGTGGCATAGTACTGAAGGTAGCAGTACTCTGTTGTGGAGCATGACTGTCTTATCTATGACTAAGTCTCTGACAACACTAGCTTCGCTGAGGGATGGGGCCACAGGAAGACATGAGGACACCTCCCAACCAAGACAGGTGACATACACAAGGAGTACCCAGGTAAGCAGCAGGGGTCCAGATAGTCCTGAGAATTGGGGGGTGGCATACGCACCAATTCAAGGCCTTAAATGCCTCTATACCAATGCTCATATTATGGGGAAGAAGCAGGAGGAACTCACCCTCCAGATAGCTAGTTCAAACCCGGACATAGTAGGGCTCACAGAAACCTGGTGGGATTCATCCCATAACTGGGCGGTCAACATTAAGGGCTATAGGGTATACAGATGGGATAGAACAGGGAGGAAAGGTAGGGATGTGGCGCTCTATGTCAAAGAGCAATACACATCCTCAGCCAGCAGGATGGGGTCAGAGGAAGGGAAGGCTGAAGTGCTCTGGGTCAGGATACAGGGGGGTCGTGGGGAAAGGGACTTAGCAGTGGGGGTCTACTACAGACCTCCCAACCAAGGGGAAAAGCTGGACCGTAAATTCTTGGGTCAGCTTGCGGAGGCACTTAAGGCAAGGGATGTAGTTTTCATGGGTGATCTAAATTACCCGGACATCTGGGAGGAGCAGTCAGCCAGGTCTGACCGCTCATGGAGGTTCCTGGCTCAGATATAGGACCTCCACTTAACCCAAGAGGTACACAGTCCTACCAGGGGGAATGCCCTGCTGGACCTGGTCCTGGCCACAGGCGACGACCTGGTAAGGGGACTCCAGCTCCTCGACCACCTGGGCGATAGCAATCATCACTTGCTGGAATTCGCAATCCAGTGCAGGGTGTCAAGGGCCTGCAGCAAGGCAGTAGCCTTAGACTTTAAGAGAGCCAACTTCAATGAGCTGAGGCAATTAGTTGGGGAGGCACTAGGGTCCTGGAAAGTAGAGGAATTGGGTGCCCAAGGTGAGTGGTCGTTCCTTAAGGAGATGATACTCAGAGCCCAAGGGGTGACAATCCCAACAAGAAGCAAAGGGGGCAAGAGTGCCCAAAAGCCCCCCTTGCTCACCAAGGGCATTTGTGAATGCCTAATTGCCAAAAAGGAGGTGTACACCCAGTAGAAGGGAGGGACTATCACCAAAGAGGTGTATACCTCCACCACTCGGGTCTGTAGGGGGGCTGTTAGGAAAGCTAAGGCAGATACGGAACTAGCGCTAGCATCAAGGATCAAGGATAACAAAAAGTCCTTTTTTAAATACATAGGGAGAATGAAGAAGGCACCAGGTAATGTGGGGCCCCTGCAGGATATGCTTGGCAATCTGGTGGTCACACCAGAGGAGAAAGCAGACCTCTTTAACAATTTCTTCGTATCTATTTTCTTGTGCAGGGACCAGGACTCCCCTACCGAGATTCAGGACAGACTCAAGAGAAACTCCGCCAAGCCTAGGGTCAGGGAGGATCAGGTTAGAGAACTTCTGGAGGGGCTGGACGTGTTCAGATCAGCAGGTCCAGATGCTCTCCACCCCAGGGTGTTGAGGGAATTGGCAGGGGTTATAGTGGGGCCCCTGGCATGGCTTTACGAGCACTTGTGGTGCTCTGGCCAGGTGC